TCTTTTTCAAGGACAGCTCTGACAGAGCTGTGGCTTGCCCAAGGTCATCCAGCAGCCGCGAGTGGAGGAGTGGGGGAATCAAACCCGGTTCTCTCAGATTAGAGTCCGCACACTTAACCACTACACCAAACGGCACGAGACCTGGGTTTGAATCCTTGCTCAGACCTGGAGGCTGACTGGGTGCAGGGTTGTTGTGAGGATAAAATGGAGAACGGAGGAAAGATAAAAGTGCTTTGGGTCCCCATTGGAGAGAAAAGAGGGGTCAAATATTTTCTGATGTTCTTATCGGGGAAGGCCTTCCAGCAGAGCTCTTCTGATGTTCTTATCTGGGGAAGGCCTCGGCCTCTCTGCCCTGTTGCTGGCCCTCCAGAGGGACTGGCTGGCCCCTGTGTGAGACGGGATGCTGGACTAGAAGGACCCTCACTGGTCTGATCCAGCAGAGCTCTTCTGGTGTCCTTCTCAGGGGAAGGCCTCGGCCTCTCTGCCCTGTTGCTGGCCCTCCAGAGGGACTGGCTGGCCCCTGAGTGAGACGGGAGGCTGGACTAGAGGGACCCTCCCTGGTCTGGCCCAGCAGGGCTCTTCTGGTGTCCTTCTCAGGGGAAGGCCTCGGCCTCTCTGCCCTGTTGCTGGCCCTCCAGAGGGACTGGCTGGCCCCTGAGTGAGACGGGAGGCTGGACTAGAGGGACCCTCCCTGGTCTGACCCAGCAGGGCTCTTCTGATGTTCTTCTGAAGGCCTAAACCTCTATGCCCTGTTTATTGGCCCTCCTCAGAGGAACTGGTTGGCCACTGTGAGACGGAATGCTGGATTAGAGGGACCATCACTGGTCTGATCCAGCAGAGCTCTTCTCATGTTCTTCTGAAGGCCTCGGCCCGTGTTCTTGGCCCTCCAGAGGAACTGGCTGGCCCCCCTGTGTGAGACGGGAGGCTGGACTAGAGGGACCCTCCCTGGATTGACCCAGCAGGGCTCTTCTGATGTTCTTCTCAGGGGAAGGCCTCGGCCTCTCTGCCCTGTTGCTGGCCCTCCAGAGGGACTGGCTGGCCCCTGTGTGAGACGGGAGGCTGGACTAGAGGGACCCTCCCTGGTCTGACCCAGCAGGGCTCTTCTGGTGTCCTTATCAGGGGAAGGCCTCGGCCTCCCTGCCCTGTTGCTGGCCCTCCAGAGGGACTGGCTGGCCCCTGTGTGAGACGGGAGGCTGGACTAGAGGGACCCTCCCTGGTCTGACCCAGCAGGGCTCTTCTGGTGTCCTTCCCAGGGGAAGGCCTCGGCCTCTCTGCCCTGTTGCTGGCCCTCCAGAGGGACTGGCTGGCCCCTGTGTGAGACGGGAGGCTGGACTAGAGGGACCCTCCCTGGTCTGACCCAGCAGGGCTCTTCTGGTGTCCTTCTCAGGGGAAGGCCTCGGCCTCCATGCCCTGTTGCTGGCCCTCCAGAGGGACTGGCTGGCCCCTGTGTGAGACGGGAGGCTGGACTGGAGGGACCCTCCCTGGTCTGGCCCAGCAGGGCTCTTCTGGTGTCCTTCTCAGGGGAAGGCCTCGGCCTCTCTGCCCTGTTGCTGCCCCTCCAGAGGGACTGGCTGGCCCCTGTGTGAGACGGGAGGCTGGACTGGAGGGACCCTCCCTGGTCTGACCCAGCAGGGCTCTTCTGGTGTACTTCTCAGGGGAAGGCCTCGGCCTCTCTGCCCTGTTGCTGGCCCTCCAGAGGGACTGGCTGGCCCCTGTGTGAGACGGGAGGCTGGACTGGAGGGACCCTCCCTGGTCTGACCCAGCAGGGCTCTTCTGGTGTCCTTCTCAGGGGAAGGCCTCGGCCTCTCTGCCCTGTTGCTGGCCCTCCAGAGGGACTGGCTGGCCCCTGTGTGAGACGGGAGGCTGGACTGGAGGGACCCTCCCTGGTCTGACCCAGCAGGGCTCTTCTGGTGCTCTTATCAGGGGAAGGCCTCGGCCTCTCTGCCCTGTTGCTGGCCCTCCAGAGGGACTGGCTGGCCCCTGTGTGAGACAGGAGGCTGGACTGGAGGGACCCTCCCTGGTCTGACCCAGCAGGGCTCTTCTGGTGTCCTTATCAGGGGAAGGCCTCAGCCTCCCTTCCCTGTTGCTGGCCCTCCAGAGGGACTGGCTGGCCCCTGTGTGAGACAGGAGGCTGGACTTCTCCCTCGCTGGTCTGACCCAGCAGGGCTCTTCTGGTGTCCTTCTCAGGGGCAGGCCTCGGCCTCTCTGCCCTGTTGTTGGCCCACCGGAGGAACTGGCTGGTCCCTGTGTGAGACGGGAGGCTGGACTAGATGGACCCTCACTGGTCTGATCCAG